ACTGAAATGAGCACAAATGTATGTAATATGGGGGAATTTGGTGACATGGACCTCAGAGTTCACTGCCATTGGAATAATCTGAGAATCTCCATAAAACACCAAGTCCAAGTCCATAGCAATTAAGCAGAAGCCTTCTACCGAGGACCCAGACACTGTGACTTATGCCTCCCCTTAGCCCAGAGCTTCAGTCTTGTAGACACTAAAGACTTGTGCTGGCTGAAGGTTTGTGATTCTGTATACCCTGATCTGCAGTGAGAATTTACTGTCGTTTTAGCAATGGTGAAAAAGCTTTCTTAATCTTCTTAAACAGAAATAAAAAGGTTCTAATCAATTAACACAGTCTTTATACAACACCTTTATTTCACCTGTGGACCCTTTAATAACAGTGACTCAATCAAACAAACAACAAATTTCCTGTGTGTATCATTGTTTAACCTATAGATGTTATCTAATTTACAACTACAAGCCTAGGGATACACAAGTAAATCAAATGTTTGCTAAACAAGTAAGTGTGATTGAGAAAAATCTTGGGGTGTGCTTGGTCATTAAATGGTCCTATTAAGACATTTACTGATGTCATCACATGACTTCAGGAAGTCTCTGCCTGTTTCTTTACCAACAGGCCATGAATAATGGACTTGTAGCATTCTTCATTTTTAGGAACCCTAATTACCTGGCCACTATGGTGGGATTTTTGCATCCCTCATGTCATTAGTGTGTCCTCGCTATAAATAAACTTGCTGATATCCTTTCATGTAGCTAACTGTTTTTTGAAAAAAAAAAATTACTCATTCTTTTTGCATTTGTTCAAAGGAAGACCTGAAAGGTGAAGTCTAGTCCTCTTATCTGAGTAGAGCCACAGGTGAGGCTATGAGAGTGAGGACCTCCAGAGACACAGAAGGTCCAACCCCAAATAGAATAAGAGTCAATCAGTTGTTCATCTAACTGAAGCTAATCGTAGGAAATAAAGAGCTTGGATAAGGTGCTGCTATTAAAGTGAAAGGGACAGGGTAGCAGAGACACAGGACAAGAAACCCACATGAAGAAGCAAGGAACCTGGACTTTGAGATTGCCTGTTTCCCTTAAGAGGTACTAAAACCGAGTGTTAGCTAGAGCTTTTGTTTTTGAAACAACAACAACAACAAAAATCAACATTTCATCACTTAGTTTTCTACCCAAAATTGTTCTGTGTTTCTCATTGAACAACAACCTAGAAGTGAACCATGGTCTTCATGGGGTAGAAGATATGGACACTTTCTGTTTTTATGCCGTTGGGTTTCTTGTGGTCAAACCATCTGTGCCAACCCGACCCATTATGGATGAGCCATCACCATAATGAAGTTTCATCCTCCTGCGTCACCAGAAACCTTATGGGTCTGTAATGCCAATGTTTCACTGCGGGTGGAGAGGAGAACCATCACTATGAGGCTGACCCATACAGTGACTAGACATATGGTGTCAGGAGACAGTCATTTGGAAGACACAAAAGCAAGAAAGACACTGAGGAGATGGTTCAGCCAGAGTTGATGATGAATCTTAACAGCAGGAAAAGAAACTGTGTTTTCCACCTATCTTAATAATTTAGCCAGGAAGAGGAACTGGTATAATTTGATAATCATCTGTTTGTTAACATAAACAATAACAAGAAAAGAATGTTGCACGTGAGAATAACAGCCCCTCAGCAGGGTATAAAAGGGGATGTGGGCAGGGAGACTCCCACTTCCAAACCTTCCAACAACCTTCTTGTAAACTCACTCAGAACCTCCACCTCTGACACCATGGTCAGCTCCTGCTGTGGCTCTGTCTGTTCTGAGGAGGGCTGTGGCCAAGGCTGCTGCCAGCCCAGCTGCTGCAGGACCACCTGTTGTCGCCCCAGCTGCTGTGTGTCCAGCTGCTGCAGGCCCCAGTGCTGCCAGTCTGTGTGCTGCCAGCCCACCTGCTGCCGCCCCAGCTGCTGCAGGCCCTCTTGCTGCATCTCCAGCTGTTGCCGCCCCTGCTGTAGCAGTTCCAGCTGCTGCCAGCCCAGCTGTTGCATTTCTAGCTGCTGCCGCCCCAGCTGCTGTGTGTCCAGCTGCTGCAGGCCCAGCTGTTGCCGCCCCGGCTGCTGTGTGTCCAGCTGCTGCAGGCCCCAGTGCTGTCAGTCTGTGTGCTGCCAGCCCACCTGCTGTCGCCCCAGCTGCTGCCGCCCCACCTGTTGCATTTCTAGTTGCTGCAGGCCCCAGTGCTGCATCTCCAGCTGCTGCCGTCCCAGCTGCTGCCGCCCCAGCTGCTGCATTTCCAGCTGCTGTCGGCCCCAGTGCTGCCGCCCCTCCTGTTGCATTTCCAGCTGCTGCAGGCCCCAGTGCTGCATCTCCAGCTGCTGCCGCCCAGCGTGCTCTAGTGGTTCTTGCTGCTGAGCACTGTCACCCACAGCCTCTAGTCTTTCTTCACCCACCATTCCTGATATAGACCGCCTCTCAGCTGAACCTCAAGAGGCCCATTGTAAGCCTCTATCGCAACTGAGGT